ACAATCGATGGGAATCTAACAAAGTATGAAGAGAGGATATACGTTCTAAATTGTTTAATGTAACCTTACTGCGTTTCAAAAAGAAACAACTGGAATGGACGTGAGCGCGTCGTCGAGGGTGATTTTGTCAATTAATATAAAGCTTGTGAGCCGTAAACGTTTCGAGGAAAGCTCATCAATCACGAGCCGAGGTCGAGTGATTTAGAACTGAAGCTTTCCAAGAGTTCTCCCAACATCCCAAGTGGCCGGCTTTATCACGTTACAGAGCCCGGAGAAAATGCGTCCTATTGCTTTAAGGACATAACTAGTTACATGCGGGCTCTATAACCTGATAAAGCATCCATCAACTGGACTGATCAAGTTCATCAACTCAACTGACCAATCAGACGGAGCATACTATGCTCATTTATGTTGTAGATACTGATTGACATGTGAACGTTTGTGTAAGCGTTAGACTTCCATCAGAATATTTTCCTTTTCGAGACGAAGACGACTATCGCAAAGAAAATAAAAGAAATCAATTTAAATACGACTCGAAGTTTATGACAGTTTGTAAAGTCAATGGGGCACACCGTGAACCATAGACATGATCCATTTCCTCTTTCTCCATGAAAATGAAAGACTCGACGAGAGTAACAATAGATGAGCTTAGTAAATCCTCTTTTCAGTGCTCATTGAATTGGAAATTTATTTGTTTTTTTCTCTCGATTTATTTTGCATAAAAACCGCCTAATTCGGAATTTCACAGCGCGCTTTATTACTTTTTAGCCTCCATACAGTCTTCCACAGGGAAACGCGAACCCAAAAGGTTACTTACTTCCAAGGTCACAATATCCAGCAGCAAGATACAAATGGTCACATAAAGACTCTCTTATTGAAATTCCTTCCTGTATGAGCTTTCGTCCTTTTTCCTCGTCTCCCTGCAAAACAAATCACTCTTGTAAATATCCGGGTTCAGTTTACCTTAGTGCAGGGGTAGCCCATGAGGTTTGAAGCAGACTTGCCCATTTCCACCCATTATTGGTGAGGTTTCATTAGATTTTCTGCAAACTGCAGAGAATGATCTCACCTGCAGTACAAAACATACTCCAAGCTTACTAGCGGTATGTGCATGCGTTTGGGACTTTCGTTCTTCCTCCGGCAATGTGCTGCGCATGTCATATGCTTCCTGAAACTTTGTAAGGGTAACAAGGGTTTCTTCTGGGCTGTCTTTGCTGTGGGACACGTCACAGAGACGACGGAATCCGAGTGAATTCAAGCTCTCTGCATGTTTCTTCTTATCGCCAGATGTTTTAGCAATATCACAGCATTTCTGGTACAGCATTGTGC